AGTATTTTATTTTCCCATAATAATGTTCAAAAGTACGGTGCACTTACTGATTGATAAACCGGTGCACTTTTAAAGTTATTTACAGAGCTGAGTATATTAATTCAAGCATCTGTGAAATTAACAATTACAATTGTATTTTTAAGTCTAATTAATTCTCGATTAATTAATAAATATTCATTTTGTTATAATTGGAGTTGATCACAATCAAATATTTATTGATTTATTATATCATTAAATATAGTAAAAGGTGCTTAGTCCATTATGAATTAAATTTGAATAATATTTAATAAAAATATGAGTTTACACCTTTGTGAAGTGCAAATAAAATAGTTATAGAAAACTAGTACTTTTATCATATCATAGTAATTAAAAGGAATTAATAGGGGGTTGGGGTGTATCTCAAAGTTCAACTGCACTGTACTATAACGTTAAAAATGCATAAAGTACCCGTATGGTTTATACATTTTTGTTTTAACTTTTATATCGATTTTATGTATCAATTGCACAATAACGTTACCATACAAGTAAGTATTATATATTATAAATTATATTTTCATACCAGTAGTATAAATTTAATTTTAGCAATATAATATCTAAACCTATATAATATTTATTCTCAAGATTATTATTTAAAATTGAAAAATAAAAACTGTTAGAATACATATACAGTACACAATGTTATGTTATGAAAAACATTTGTTTTTTTTAATTTAATTGATTAAAAATGAAAAAATTTATATCGGTGTTAAAATATTATGAATTGAATATAAAGAGTTAAAATAAGAAATACAATAATCCTTATAATATAAATAAATATTTACTATAAAATTTACTATAAAAATAAGTAAAAAATTTATGAAGACTTCACTCGACTTTAGTGATGGTCGCGCTCTTAGTATCCAAAACACAAATATCTCCGGTTGTGAAGGCACTACAGGCGCCCTCCACTGCTATCAGACACGGGATACCAAACTCTCTGGCAATGACTGCCCCGTGAGATATGGTTCCACCGATTTCTGTGATAATACCCGACAGTAGAGGGAAGTATGGACTCCAACCGATGTCTGTCGAGTATGTGATCAGTATATCACCCGGCTATTCNCTCCCGGCTATTCATTATAAATGTCAAATATTATTATTAATTAGATTAACTCAACTTAATATTAACAGAATCCCTAAATACCTGAATATTGTCAGCTTCTGTGATATCCTCAGAGACACAAACTCTTGCTTTTATGGATCCATTACTAACAGGAGTTCCCTTCATCTGAACCATACCTGTGCCCAGATTTGGAAGAATAATGCGATCTTCAAACTGTAAATAAGTAATAATTCAATTAAAATGTTATTTAATTAAGATATTAAATAATTGCTACATTTCTCGGTTTCATTTCTGGCCCTTTAATAAACTCATCAAACTTGTATTTATCCATTTTTGGGTAAAGCCTTTTCCGGTGTCTAACTCTCGCAAGAATTAAGGGATCTCTGTCTCCATTACAGAGCGCTTCCACTTCATTAGTGGTTAAGTAGAAGAATGATTCGGCGGAAGGAAGGAGCCCTTCGTTAACCATTTGTTGTGATAATAATCTAAAGCCTTGTCGGTACTGATTATTCATCCAAATCAAGAAGTATTTGGAGAGTTCCCTATACCCCACCCCACGTCTACACCACGGAAGCAGTAGTTTCTGAATCAATAATCTCCTCCAATAGGAGAGTGGAGTCTTGAGTTCACTGACCACTTGATCCACAGATTTTTCAACCTTTGGTTCTAATTGTGATTCATTTCCGCTTAACATTCCCTAAAATGTAATCA